TTGTTTTTCTGCTGAGTGTCCCAGCAAATTAGCAGGGCTGTGCTTTAATTAGCCAGTGCTTCTAGTGGAGATTTAATCCTTGTGTCTTCTGTCTTAATTACAGAGGCCTGACATTTATTTTTACATTTTTTGCATCTATCAGGATGAACAGACACAAAATTATGCTTCACATTTTCTTGGCATCACAACTAATTTGAATGAAAACTCAAGAGTCTTAAGTTAGGGCAAAATCTATAAATCTAAACTTTTCATCCATGCAACTGTTGGTGTTTCACAACTGAAGAATCCAACAGGTTCTCTTGTGTGGCAAAAGTTTCATTTTCTCTGATATACCCCAAGCAATAGGTAGACATGAAACCAACTTTCTGGGCAAAATCCAGCATCTGATTACAGGTATACATTGATTTCTCTTTAAGTCCTGCAGAAAGCTCAAAGCTAGAAGTGCTTGGTATCAAACCAAGGTTTTATAAGGTAATCAAAAGGGAAAAACTGGATCTTTTTCCAAGACCTGCACCCGACACACACCATTATTATGAGTGCCCAGAGAGCAGATGACTCCTCTCAGCCTTCAGAGGAGGGAGCATGGGTCAGCAAACATCTGTTGAGGAGACAACTTGCCCATGGAAGTGGTGGAATCACAATCCCTGGAAGTGTTCAGAACGTGTGGGGATTAGTCTAGTGGTGAATATGGCAGTGGTGGGTTAATGGTTGGACTCAGTCTCCGAGGTCTTTTCCAACCTAAACAATTCCATGATCCTGTATTTCACCTGCAGTTCCTCTTTTTTTTTTTTTTTTCAGGCAGGGCTGTTTTAGAGGGATTACTATGGGGTTTTTATAAACTTTACCCAATCTAAGTCCTACTCCTGAAATCCTCATGTTTGCAGCCTGTCAAACTCTTCATCGATTCCACATAACTGGGCAGAGGGCAACTCAGACCCTGGCTCTGAGAGAAGGTCCCAGAAACATAGAGACTGCCCCCCCAATTCTTTAAGGACATTCATCTGGGGCCTGAACTCCAGCTTCAGCTTTTCAATGCCATGTCCAATGACTTCTCATCAGCAGCTTTCCATCAAGAGTAGGGGGGAGAGAGACTGTCACGTTTTCTGCTTTGCTTTTCCTTTTATTCAACTGAAATACCAGTTAAATACATTTCTGCAAGTGCAAACACATCCTGGGTGAGTGGAGTGGAACAGAATTGCACTGTTCAGCTGGAGATAAAGCCCAACAAAGTCTCTGAGGGCTTTGGGCAGGCAAAGCTTGGCAGAAGCAACTGTTTTGCTCCAGCTCCCAAGTCATACCTCCTATGTGGTGGAGGAAGCTAAAGATAGCTAAAATAAATCACTTGGGCACTTAAACATGCAGGAAATTAAGGGATTTTTCTTTCAGAGGGCTGAGCTGGAAATGCAGCGGATGGGAAAACCCTTGGAGGAGTGATCCAAGTACTGTCAGAGAGGCTTTTTGAGTGCAGAGCTGCCAGTGATGTGCACACAACTCCTGCCAGCTGGAGTGGAGGACAGATGTTTGCAGCAGCAGAATTCACACAATGATGATCACTTCTGCCAACAGATTCAGCCTTTATAAAACCATTTCCAATTCTTCAGCTTCAGCACACCCCAGTGTGAGTCTGTGCAGGCAGAGCCAAGCAGTAGGTTAAGTGAAGGCTGAGGACATCATGCACAGATGTCCATCCATCTAGGTAGTTGTCTTGAGGTCCTACCTCCAGCTAAACTTGCAGGTAGCTCATTAACCTTAAGTTCTCCTTGTGCTCATCTTATTCTCCCCTTTCCCAAGCAGATCTGCCAGTGCAACAGGTAAAGCAGCTGTCTCCTATCCCAAGCCTGATAGGATGTGTCATCAGAAAACAGCCTCTCAATCACATGTGCTTACACCTCCTCTCCAGAGCTCTGTTTTGGGAATATGCTGATGCAACTATTTCATCATTTTCCCTCTAGTCCAACATGAATATTTCTGTTTGGCTCAGATTTGAAGTGCTAGGGGTGTTTTCAGAGTCTTTAATGGCTATGTGCTGCGTAATGGAGCTCCCTTTGGTCTCTAGTTGCTCTTTGTCCAGCAATGGGGCAGCCAGAGGTAAAACTTGTTCTAAATTTGGTATTAAAAGCAGGCAAAAACCTAGTTTTGCAACTTGGCCAAAACTGAGAAGCTTGGTTTGCTGGTTCACCTGTGTGCCTGCTTCTCCAACTCTAACAGCTGCTCAGCAGGTCTGGAAAGATGTTTTTTCATCAGGGGAAAACTGAATGATCACATGGGTTAAGTGGGACATGAAACACAATCTCCAAGGACCCCAAACCAAACCGTGTATGGGGAGAAATGAGGCTATGTGAAGGGATGGTGCAAGAGGAGCATTGACCCATTACCATCTCAGGGCTGAGGTTTACACAGGTGCATCTCCAGAGTTATGTTACCTCAGGCCTGAGGTGTACAGAGGGGGAAAACCCTCAAGCCCAACAGTACATTAAACCTAACCAAATCTTCCTGGAAAATCCCACTAGACATATGGCTGCAGTGTTCAACCCTTCCCTTTTTTCCAGTGTACACCCTTCCACCACATTTCTTCCTTCCAGGGTTTGTTCCCAAGGCATTGTGCTTACCATGAGCCAGATGGGGAAAGGCACCTTGCGAAGGATGTGGGAGCTGTCGGAGGTGACCGACTGGACACCAGCACACCACAGGATGGAGTACAGCCAGGGCTCGTTCACCGTGTAGAGATTCACACTGAGGTTTGCCATGGTGTAGTCCCTGCGAGGAGACAGACTAGATGAGATGCAAGACCCCCCCCAAACCTCATACCCTCATCTCCCAGAGGAGTGCTCATGCCATCAAACCTCAGCTGTAATCACAGGTAGATTTATTGGGTTTGAGTTGCATGAAATACGGTTTTTAACAGGGCATGATCCCTTCATGAGCAACCCAAGGGCACTGCAATCCAGTGGTTTGAACTCCAGAGACTTCTTCACTTCTTGGCTGCTGTCTCACCCAAGCCACAAAACATCTCAGAACATTCCCCGTGAATGATGGACATGGCGTGTTTTTGTAACAACCACCTCATCACATTGATGTAAAATTAGCATCTGGCTCAGACACCTGTAACATTTCATAGGCAATTTATTTAATTAAAATCTGACAGACCTTTTCCAACATCAATTCCTACAACTTCCATGCCCTTGTTTTGGGGACTGTTGCAGAGTTACACAGTGTTCCAGTCTCCTGAGGTCATTTACCAAGAAGCTAAAACAGCAAGCTGGGATACAGGGGCTGCAGTGGACTCCCTGGTACCTAGATATTTGCATAAATTGCTCTGTTTCTTTATCTATGAAGCAGAAGCATCAGCCATCTCCTTCACATGAACAGCACAGATTAATCCTGGCAATTTAACATTTGCAAAACACTTCGATGTGGGAAGGCCACAAGATGTGGACATCTCAAAGCTCACAACAGGATCAAGGTGCTACAGAGGGATGCTCAAGGGCAGAAGTGGTTGGAGCAATGTTACATCCAGGTGCAGATTTTGGGGAGGATTGAGAACTGTATTAAACCAGGACTGCAGCAAGGTTTGGGGACCACAAGATGTTCAGGGTTCAAGAAACACTCAGGTGGCAGGTCAGGAGATAGCTGAGGTGAGACTGATGAGAGACTGGGGCTGATGAGCTGGGATAGATGAGTGAGTTGGCACAGGGGCCTGTCCATGAGGTGAAGCAAACAGGTAAGGAGAAAAACAAGTAGGAATTATCCTGCAGGTAAAGCAGAGACTTGGTTTTAAGGGCAATTTAAGACCAACTGCTGGCAGCTAGGGGAAGACACCACCCTTCAAGGTTCAAATATAGGCTGGACCAGAGGAGCCCCATGCTGTGCCAGTCTCATTAGAGAGATGATCAGTCTGAATAGCTGATACAGGACAGGAATGAAATGGGTGAATTCTCTGCAAAGAGAAAATTCTGAAAGCATATCCAGACTTTAGACTACTCAAAATTCTGTGTTAGCAACTCTAAGTGCAGCCAAACAGAAGCAAAGGGCAGCTGCTAATGAGAATGGAACAGCACTCAGAGGGACTCAGTGTGAAAAGCCTTCACTTTTCCCCAGAGCTGAGACTGTAATAAGAATCAGCCAATTCAGACATTTGTATTTCAAAGAGCATCATCATATACTGAATTAGCATGTAGAGATGTTAGAGGCAGCTGTGCACTCCCAGGAACAGCCTGGATTCTGGATGATGGGCAGGGAAAAGCTTGCACAGCTCAAGCTTTCATGAGCAAGTCCATCTGAAAAGCTATCTCTGTGCAGATAGGACATCCTGGGATGCTCAGGAAAGGATTCTGCTGGACCAGGGATGCATGTGGGCTATCTCAAAGTGGCCAAGCAGGGCTGTACCTGACATCCTCGTTCGTGACCTTGGTGTACCGCAGGTTGAGCTTTATGATGCCCTTCTCCCTCATGCGCTCTGCATCCAGCTTGAGGCCAGATGTCTGCTGGAAACCTGGGGCAATCTGTCTGACCAGCTGCCTCTCCATGTCTGGCAGCCACATCACCTGTGGAGGGAGTGAGACAGAGGACAGGCAATGGTGAAGGTGGTTCCCAAATCTGGTAACACAAGGCAGCTTTGCAGACAGTCAGTGTGGACACCAGGCCAAAAGCAAAATGACATGAGACACTGCCTTGTTTGCCATACAGATTCTCTAGGAGACAATTCCAGCCTCCCACATCTCTAATCAAATGTATTTCAGGATTATCCTTGAGCCCAAGGACTGTAATGCACGAAATCTTAGAGGTGAAGAAGGTTGAGATAAAAAGGGATCAGGCCAAAGGCTCATGAGAGGAGACATGGTATGTCCTTGAAAACCTGTCCTCCCTGCTCAGTTCAGGGCATAGAGAGAACTAAGGACATGTGGACAGTGCAGGCAGGATGCAGGGGAGAAGCCTCCTGTGATCCCATGGCTAAGACTAGTTTTATTCATCCTCTTTTATCTACTCCCACCCAGGGCAAGGATTTCCCTAAATTCACACCATGCTGTGAAAGTGTGTTGAATCAATTGCTCTTAACATGCTTAGCTGCCAGGTGTAAAACGGATCACAGAATGGTTTGGGTAGAAAGGGACCTTTAAAAGTCACCTCATTTCAACCCCTGGCTATGGGCAGGGACACCTTCCTCTAGACCAGGTTGCTCCAAGCCTGATCTTAACTCAGTGACACTCGTCTACCAAACCATCAGAGCAGCACAGAAGCACCATATCCATTTTCAGTAGGGAACCAAAAACCTAAGTGAGAAATACCACTTCAAAACTCCACATCCATATTTTGACTATATTTCTCCTGCTCTTCATCTCCATTGTGGCCTTCCAGTACTTAAAGGGGCATATAAAAAAAGGGAGAATTAGTTTCTGCACACCCAAGGAGAACCTCTCCTGTCTCAGTGTATGACCACTGCTTTCCACCCTCCTGACATGCAGCTCAGTGAAGAGCTTCAGTTCAACTTCTCAACAATTTCCTTGTACATACTGGGGAGATCTCACAGCAGCTCTCTAAAGTATTTTCTTTGCCAGGATAAAGAGACTCCATTCCCTCAGCCATTCTGCCTATGTCCAGCCTCTGACCAGCTTAGTGGCCTCTGCAGGACTTGCCCCAGTTTATCAAAACCTATCCTGTACTGTACAATGCGGTCCAGAAAGCAAATCCTATCCTGAGCTGCATCACCAGCAAGTGAGGGGGGAAATCCTGCATCTCTGCTCTAGGCAGTTGAGACCCACCTGCAGTGCTGCCTCCAGCTCTGGAGCACCAACAGCAGAAGGACAAGGAGCTGCTGGAAGAGGTCATGGAGATGCTCTGAGGGCTGGAGCTGTAGAAGAGAAGGCTCCAGGGAGCCCTTAGAGCCTCTGCCAGTGCCTAAAGGGGCTCCAAGAGAGCTGGAGAGGGACTTGGGACCAGGGTCTGGAGGGACAGGACAAGGGGGAATGGCATCCCACTGCCAGAGGGCAGGGTTGGATGGGATATTGGAAAGGAATCACCTGTGAGGGTGATGAGGCAGTGGCACAGGTTGCCCAGAGAAGCTGTGGCTGCCCCATCTCTAGGAGTTTTCGAGGGCAAGTTGGATGGGGCTTGGAGCAACCTGGTCTAGTGGAAGGTGTCCCTGTCCGCGGCAGGGGGATGGAATGAGATGGTCTTTAAGGTTCATTCCAACACAAACCAGTCTGGGATTCTGTGATTGCTGAGTAAGGGGAATTATCACATCCCTCCATCTACCAGTCATAGCAACATTAGTATAGCTCCAGGTGCTATGAAGGATTTAGGAAAACCCTAAGGAAGGCAACATCACCAACCCCTCCAGGACTCACAGCCTGTTGCCGAATTCCTGATGCCAGGATGGTTTCCAGGGTGATGTTGATGTAACTGCTGTAGTAGGGATGAGCTGATGGCAGGTTCTGGAAGTTCAGGATGAGCGATGTGTTATCCTTAATGACCTCTAGCATATCTTCCAGCTTACAGACTGACTGGTTAGCAGCTTCCAAGTAGTCAGACCTTGAGAGAGACCCAACTGTCCAGAAAGGGTCGTTCTGAAGACAAAGCACATCCCAGTATTACTTCCATGAAGTCCAGACTCCCAGTACAGGTGAAGACCCTTTTCCCTCCCACCTTGCAGCAGCACAGCATGCTGACAGCTACTCTTGATGACCATCTTACACTCTGCTCAAGTGTTTCTTTGTATCTAAGGGGAGGTAACAGATCCTTCCTGAAAGGAAGGTGTGCTGGATAGGTTACCCCATTTTCAGGGGAAGAGCAAAGCTATAGGGCAATAATTTGATTTTCCAAGGTAGTAAGCTAAAAGTGTACTTTCTTACACTGTGTACACAATCACCAAGGATTCTTCAGGATCCAAAACTAAAAAAGACCAGCTATTATATGACTAAGAGTGATCAGACAGGAGCTATGGGCTGTTGGAAGATATGGGCTCCTGATTTAAGGACATTCAGGAATGACTGCTTCAAAGTACATCCCATTCCAGATGATGTCTTGGCCCTCCTCAACTGGCAAGCAGCACATTTCCTGCTTCCCCACAACATCTGCAAGCCAAGCAAGTCTCTGTGCAGCTCAGAGATCCCTATCACACCTCCAGCCCAGCTAGGATCAGAACTTCAGCAGTGAAGTTATGGTGGTTTCAGGCTTGCACCAGACAAGCACCCAAAGTATCTGCAACTGGTCCCTGAGCTTGTATTGCTGCAGCAGCACTTCAGCAAGCCATGATCAAGCTTCAATGAGCATGCCCAAGTGCTGCTGCCCTCCTTCCACACCACAGCTAGTGTTCTCCATGAAGGTTATGGCCACTGGCCAGAGAGCAGCTTGGCAAGAAGAAATCCCACCTGCAACCTTGATTGCACACTGAAGGACAGGTCAAGCCCATCCCACAGCAATTCTTTCTCTGGACTTCAAAGGCTGAATTTCTGATTTTTCCTTTGTAAAGATGGTTGTCTCCAGAAGTAAATTCAAGAAAAAGGAACAGCATATAACATGTTGTCTTTTCTGTCCTCTTTATAATCATGTTCACCCTCCTGGGGGTCTGGAAGTTCTTTGTGGTGACAACCAGGCATTAAAGACCCTTCTTCCAGGTGGTAGAAGAGGCACAGAAAGACAGTAAGTCTTTTAGACCAAATCTAAGCTTAGTAGAGACAGACCTAAATGTGCTTCATGGACGCTTGGTCTAGCTGCACTTCAGACCACACCACCAAGGAGATAGATCAACACCTTTCCACCTCAAAGGGGTGTCTATCCCACAGCCATGGCTCCAGGACACCCTCTCCATGGTACGCACCCGCAGGAACCACTCTCCAGCATTGAGCTTTTCCAGGTCAGTCCAATTGAACATGGAAGAGTGCTCGTAGGCCCTGTCTGGAAACACTTCTTCCACATTTGTTGTTCTCCTGAGGGTCTTGTCATGCATCAGAAATGGCACTCCATCATAGCTGCAGAGATAACCAGAGGCCCTGTTACAGGTGGAGATGCACACCCATGCACACAGCCTGTTCCCCCTCCAGCCTCTCTCATGGCTTCACATCACAATTTTTGTGAAGATCCCAACCAGCTTAACACATCTCCAAGGTCACTTGAGATGAGGTGCACCCAGAGGAAATCTTAGACATGTCTTAAATATCTGCTAGATGCTGGCAGTCATTCATACATTGACATAACCCTATCCATCCCTTCCTCCTCTCCACTACTCCCCACAAAAACTTCTAGTATCAAACTCAGGTAGCCTGGACAAGAACACCCACCCTCGATGCTCCTGCTAACCAAAGGTTTCTCAGCACCTGTAGCTTCACAAAACATCAGAGGCTTTCCTGGATGTACAGACACACACAGACTATCCACAAACTGTTCACAGCAGATGATGAGTGAGATCTTCAAAGGCTCTGAGAGTACATGTGAACATTAAGTTCACAAGCTTTCAGCAAGATGCAAAGGTTCCAAACTACCAAAATGGCTCTGAAATGGCCTTTTTCAATTGAAAATTGGTTTCAGGGAACTGCCATGCCCACATGAGCTGTTGAGTTCATGCATCTGGAAGAAAACTCACCTGTCAGATGAAACTGAACAGCCAAACGCATGCTCTGGGGGTTTAATTCAGATATTACAGAATAATGGTTGTGGGAAAGGTAGAAAAACCTCTTTAATCTTTCCTTCACTAGATCTTTCTGTGACTAGATCAGTGGTAACACCATACAGAGCAATAATGGTTTCTATCAAGGGCATGGAGGCAGCTGTCTACACTCAGAAATCACAACAAACCCAGGGCAGGCAGCCCGATAACAGTGATATTTTCCAAAGCAAGGAGCACATCTTCATAACAGAAGACTCAGATAAGGTCTGGAAAGGGGATGGGGTTGAAATTCAAATTCCATTTGAATTAACAGACAACCCAGAGCACTCATTCCCCAAGGGCTAGAGGGAAAATTAAACCCCATATTAGATGGTACAAGAAACTTTGCCTCAGCTTTCCCATTGCCTGCACAAGTACCTTATCACAAAGGTCATGGGCATCTTTATTTGCTATTTCTAGCATGTGCTGTGCCAACTACTTCCCCCTCAGCCCAAAGCTGACACAGCAATCCCATGCTCAGTACCACACCATGCTGCTGCAATCAGAAGGGGTTTTAATAAATACAGTTAAAAAAGAAGAAAGAAAGGAAATATGCTAAGCAACTGCAGAATGAAGAGTGTGGAGTGTTTAAAGGACACAGGAGCTCAAGCCTTAACATCTCATAGAAGAACATCACCAGACACCATGAAGCCTTAACCACAGCGTGGAAAACCTATAAGGCACTTAACATTTGCTCCCTCCCTTCCAACCCTTCCCATCACAGAGTCACTCAACACCACTCAAGGTTAACCAGAAGGTGTTAGCACGCATAGGTTTGAAAGAATAATTCAGAGACAGGAACTGGAGCTTTAGAAGAGATGTGGGAGGAAATAGAAGAGAGAAGAACATGCAGTGATTCACAGAATCAGTCAGGTTGGAAAAAACCTCTGAGATCAAGTCCAACCTATGACCTAACACCACCATGTGAACTAGATCATGGCACTAAATGCCATGTCCAGTCTTTTCTTAAACACCTCCAGAGATGGTGACTCCACCACCTCCCTGGGCAGCACATTCCAGTGTCTAATCACCCTTTCTGGGAAGAAGTTCCTCCTGATGTCCAACCTAAACCTCCCCTGCTGCAGCTTGAGGCTGTTTCATCTTGTCCTGTCCCTTGTTCCCTGGGAGCAGAGCCTGATCCCCACCTGGCTGAGCCTCCTGTCAAGGAGTTGTAGTGAGGGAGAAGGTTCCCCCTTACCCTCCTTTTCTCCAGGCTGAGCCCTCCCAGCTCCCTCAGCCCTTCCTCGTGCTCCAGACCCCTCTCCACCTGCGTTGCCCTTCTCTAGACACGGTCCAGTCCCTCAATGTCTTTCTTGGAGTGAAGGGCACAGAACTGGACACAGTACTTGGCAATGATGGCTCCCAACTGGTTTAATCTACTGCCATAGCATGAACTCATCTTTATCATGGAATCTCATAATAGTTTGGGTTGGAAGGGACCTTAAAGCTCAACTCATTCCAACCCCCTGCCATGGGAAGGGACACCTTCCACTAGACCAGGTTGCTTGAGACTATGTCCTCTTGACCTGTCACTTATACCTGGGAGCAGAGCCTGACCCCACCTGGCTACAACCTCCTGTCACAGAGCTGTAGAGAGTAATAAGGTCACCCCCTGAGCCTCCTTTTCTCCAGGCTGAGCCCCTCCAGCTCCCTCAGCTTCTCCTCATAGGATTTATACTCCAGCCCCTTTCCCAACTCCATTCCCTTCTCTGGACTCACTCCAGGACCTCAATGTCCTACTAGTTGTGAGGGGCCCAGAGCTGGACACAGGACTCAAGGTGCCTCACCAGTGCCGAGTACAGAGGGACAATTACTTCCCTAGTCCTGCTGGCTGCACTATTTCTGGTACAAGCCAGGATTCCATTGGACTTCTTGAGCACTTGAGCACACTGCTGGCTCATGTTCAGGTGCTGCGGACCAGCACCTCCAGATCCTTCTCCACTGGTCATGATTCCATGTTCCTGCTGCTTGAAGCAAAGTTGGCTTTACAAGCAGGGCCACCAGGTTTGGGGTGTGTAATATGCAGGGAGCAGGACACACTGGGGCTGAGTGCATGTCCAAGCAGCCCACCCATGGCTGATATGTGCCTAGGAGAATATGAAAACATTCCAGTGGGATGTTCCGGAAGACATCCCAGGTGGGATGGACCCATCCAGCCACAGGCATAGAGAATATCTTTCAAAGGGATAAAGAGCAATGGGTATTATGCCACAAAGGCTTCCCAAAGGTGTTGCCAGCTGCACTGATACCTCAACTTTTCAGTTTGGAAGTCAATGGAATTCTCTTTCTCTAAAGACACTTGAGTGTCTCAGAGAAGGCTCAGGCAACTGGGCCATCAAGGGCATTGTTTAAGCTACAGATGCTTGGAGTGCTCAATGTGGAAAGCTCTTGGAGCTTTTCCAGCTCTCCTCCTCCCAAAAATCCACCTTTCTCCTTGGTCAGTGTTAATGGAAGCAACTGATTCAGCCACATGAGCCAAGTGCTCATCTGTGAGCTGAACAGACAAGTACTTGTCACTTCACCACAGTTCATGAACTAATTCTGGAAAGAACAAGAATCATGTAACATACATCCTGATTCACACTTTATTCTTCCACAATGACCTTCCACTCCCCTATGGGAAAAAATTCCTTTAGTTTTTAAATCATTTTCTTTCAAAAAATATGCAGAGTAAAGCAATTAACAATTAAACTTCAGAAGTCCATCTTCCACCAGGCAAAAATATCTTCCCATCAACACAAACCCCCAAGGCTCTCAGGACAAAAAATATCTGCTTTGAGTCTTTCTTGTGTTTATAACTGGACCTGAGACAAACTGAGGAATCACCAGTAGTAGGTATTACTGCTCCCTCATGCAAGCTCTGCCATTTTGCACTTCTACAACTCATGCAAACCAAAACACAGCTCAGAAAAGGAACAAGAATCTGAAGGAATTACCAAACTCTTGGAACAAAGCATAGTTGCTAGAAAAAGCCTCTCTAAATCCTCTTTAAATTTGGCTTGTCAACATCTGCCAGCAAGGAATGACTTTTTGACAGTCAAGAGTGTCACCAAGTTCCTCCTTCCCACAGCATTAATGCCATGTGAGGGAAAGGAGGAAGGGATTACTCCTGGGCTGCTCCAGTCTTGTGACAGCTTTTCAAGGCTCGTAAAGGCCCTCCTGAGGACTTGGAGTGCAATGAAGTGAATTTGGGCTCTCCACTCTCTGCACCTTGGACATCCCAGACAAGTCACATTTAAGCAGTTCTGTCTCTTCCCAAGTCCAGATAACTCCTAGCCATGCCAGAATCCACGTGCTGTGTCTCACTGTACTAAAACAAGCTCTGGGATAAACTGCAGCCTTCCTGCAAGTGAAGATTAGTTCCATGACAAAGAGATCCAGGTTCCTGCATCTGGACAACTTCACCTTTCACCATCATCTCAGTGAAACAATTAGTAGCATCTGTGCATTACAAATGGAGACAGACAGGAGTTATTGGATCACATTCCAATGGGAAAACGCAGTAGCAACCAGATACACCAGATTGGAAAGATCCACCAGCATGGCTTGGCCCATCCACAGACAATGCCAGACTAAGCAGCACATTGATTTACCTCAATACAACATCAGCTTGGACTCCATATATCTTCTGCTCCACTGCCTTCTGGAAGGACATCAGAGTGTTTTCTGGTGCCAACTGTGGGGAAAAAATTAAATAAAGCAATGAGAGATTAGCAGTATGTAGCAAATTTACAAAGCAGTGTCAGGGAGGATGCTGGGAGGAAGGTTTGGAGATATTAGGGAGACAAAACAATGTTGTTTAGCAGATTACACTGGAGCACCAGCATCCCACAGGCAGAACTGCATCTCATTGAGGGTTGAAGGAGACCAATGCATTTACTTCACTAGTCTCTCTCACACAGAGAGTTCCATGCAGAGTTATCATCACCTGCAACACCAGAAACATGACTAGCTCAAGGGATGGTGCAAAATCAGTGCAGGAGTGGTTTGCTCACCAGTGTGGTCCCCCAGACAGTGGCTTGCTGGAGATCCCCAAATGTTTGGGGATTGTTAGTGTGATGTCAATTCTCTATCCACAGGTTACATCTAGAGCTCTCTAAACCACCTTAACACCTCTTCATTCTCCTCCTTTTCTGTACAGTGATTCCAATGCCATTAAAGACAGGAGAAAGGCCACAAAGCAGATTATCCACACCATGAAGAACAACCAGATCATACATTCTGTACCACACATTTTATTTCCACATCTACTCATTCAATAAAGTAATCTATTAGTCTAAAAATCAGATGATTGCTCTAATAACGAGTTAGTTTTAACAACATTTAATAACCTTTTTTCTAATTCAGTAAGTTCCATCAAGACACAAGGAGCTTTCACAATCCATAATTTTCAAGATTTACTCAGGGTTTGGAAGGAGGAATAATTAAGAGCAAAGGCTTAATTGCAGCATTCAAGGAAGATGCACAATAAATATAAAAACTTGTTCAAGCATTTAAGGTGTCTCTAAGTGTCATTTATTTCCCTCTAAGCTGATCACTTTACACTCTCAGGTCAGCAAAGCTTTGGGGTAAAATAATCAGAGCAAATGTCAGCAGCAACCTTCACATAGCTCTGGTATCTCACTGCTGAATTCCTCTGGCTCAAGGCACACATCAATACAAGTTCATTTTGATGTTTGTTCAACAGAGGCAACATAGAGGCACATTATCTGCCTAAAAAAGCTCCCAATCAAAGCCTGACTTGTTCAGGAGAAGACAGAGGCAACACTCCCATCAGAGTCTTGCACAGTCCAGTGCTGGGTCACCCAAGGTCGATCTGAAAGAGCTTTTTGCTAGACATGTCTGATGCTCTGAGCTGTCAGCAGAGAGCAGCAGTCACAAAGCCCTGAAGGACCCATCCAGAGTTGCTCTCATCCCCTTGGGTTGCTTTCAGCATCTCAGGTTTTCCTTCCCAAGTAGCTCAGGTTTCCACAGGATAACCCTGCAAGGTGATCCTCTCTCTACAGCATAATGCTCAATATTTGCTTCTGGGAGATTGCTAGAAAATCAAGTGAGTTGTCTTCCAAAGAGAAACAGCTGAGCTAGAGAAACCCAAGGGCAATGCAAGACAACCAGCTGGTCAGGAAGGGTTGCTGGGTAGATGCAATGCAAGTCCCAGCTCAAGATGTGACACCATGTCAAGCGGTGACTGTACCCACACCCCTAGAAAGCACCTCTGCTCTGGAGACAGGATGAGAAAGCTGGGGTTGTTCAGCCTGGAGAAGAGAAGGCTCCAGGGAGACCTTAGAGCCCCTTTCAGTACCTAAAGTGGTTCTGAGGAGACCTCATTACAACCTTCCAGTACCTAAAGGGGGCTTAGAATAAAGGAGAGCACATTTTACACAGGCAGATAGTGACAGGACTAGGGGGAATGGCTTCCCACTGCCAGAGGGTAGAGATAGATGGGATACTGGGAAGAAATTCTTCCCTGAGAGGGTGGTGAGGCACTGCCCTGAGAAGCTGTGGCTGCCTCATCCCTGGAAGTGTTCAAGGCCAGGGCTGGAATGAGATGAGCTTTAAGGTCCCTTCCAACCCAAACCGTCCTGTGATTCTGTGATTCTAAGCCTTGAGGCAAAGACACCGGCTCCTTGTGAGCATGTGGTGGGTAAGTTCCCAACCTGGCCAGAGTCAGTCACCCTGATATAAATAATTGCCTCTTCAAATGAGTCCATCATTGATGCAGAAAACTGTCCTGTCCAGTTCCTAAACCTCTCAGTCAATCCTAGCCTTGAGGGAACTGAACAAGCCACTCACACCCATGACACAACCCAGTAAAGATCAACCAGAAACAAAACAAGCCAGAAAAACAAATTTAAGCTTATCCCCTAGACACTGCCTATTCCCAAAGGTTTTCCTGGCACCACTCTGGAGGCAGAATTCCTCTGTACCAGGAGTTCATATACCCTGCAGTGTGAGGGGGTTTTGTGAGAAGAGAGAATCTGAGATCCAGGTATTTCCATCATCCCAGCCCCTATTCCGCCAAGAGGAGAGAGCTGAAGTCCCAAATTCAGCATGTTTAAGGCAGAGATGCATTCAAGTGGGACAGCTGGAATTACTTGCTGAGATTAGTGTTATTTTTTTAAAAGGTCTTAGAGCAAAACAACAATAACTAAATAAATGCAGAATCTTTCTGCTTGTATTTCTATCTGTCTCCCTCCAGTTTCCTCCTGGATACAATATATTCAGTCATATTATGTCTAAAACCTAAATCCAGGTTTGCAACAATGGATACAATCAATTTCTTAAAGAAAGCAGTGCTGAAGGAAAAGAAACCTTGGGGTAAAAATCACTGATTTCAGTCCAAAACTCCTCTCTTATATAAACTATGCTCATGTCAAAGACAGACAGACCCTGGGCAGGGTTTCTGCTCTGTGCCCTTGCTTTGACAGACTCATCCCATGCAAAAATCAAGCAACTATTCATTTCTTTCTGCTGCAGAGAGACACAGCAAGTAATTTCTAGAATATTACCCACAAATGAGTGCATTTTGACTACTTTTGTGCTCAGAAATCCACTGCAAATGTGTTCCAAATGCAGACAAGAGCTTAGGATCTTAATGAAGATTACGAAAGTGTGTTAGTTAGAGCTGGACACCAGCACATTGTATTTTTCCCTAAATTAACCAGGACTTAAAATAAATCACAGTATGTTGTGGAGGTTAACAAAGAAGCTTGGACAGAAGAACTGAATTTTATTCCAAGCTTACTGCAGCCATTACACACCTCTGGCTGGGCTAGTGGAAGCTGTCCTTACCATGTCAGGAGGTTGGAATGGCATGGTCTTTGAGGTCCCTTCCAACCCAAACCAGTCTGGGATACTGCGATTATGCACTGAGATGCACTAAAGGATCTGATCTTTGATTCATCACCAAGCTTTAAGGATATTTTCTTGCCCTTTTTTCTTGTCTTTTTGGAAACATGAGCATCATTCTAACATTTCTTTTAAAATTTTCCCTCTGATCTCTCCTTTCCAGTATTAATCTGTAACAGGACAAAAAACCACAAGACATGATTAGGGTGATACCTAAAAAATTGAATTTTCCTTTGTGTAAAATTATGTCCTTAGGAAGTTCCCTGTATTTGGCTTAGTGTGAGATTTGCCAGGACATTGCATTTTAGCATTAGTGTCCCCTCATGCCAGGTCACTACAAGGCAGTAACAATTCTGGTTAAAACAGAAAATAAAACGTATTTTTAATCCTCAGGAATTCGAGGTATTTTAGTGAGAATCCATAACTAACCCTGCCCATGGCAGGGGGTTGGAACTAGATGGTCTTCAAGGTCCCTTCCAACTCAAACCAGTCTGTGATTCTATGATCTAACCTTCGAGGAAATAGCTCAACTAGACTGAGAGGAAGTGGAAAAGCACAAAACAGAGAAAAAAAAAAGCCTTGGACAACAGAATAAACTCATAAGCAAAAGCCATTAGGGATTTAATAACTAGATCCAGGAGATGAGACCTCATTATTGTACTGCACACACAAAAAAAGCTGAAGCTTGATTTAATGAAAGAGTACCTAACCTGACACAGATTTATTTCCATGAGCATAAGCCTTTCTCCAAGCTTGACAGAAGATGCTAATTGGGATTGTTTGCTCTGACTGATTGAGCCAGCAGACAGGTTAACTGGCCTCATTTTTAATATGTGCATAAGGCATCCAGCAACCCAAATGCCTCCTGATCTCAGCAGCACAAGCAGTACAGACAAAAGCTCTTCAGAGCCCTGAAAGAAACAGAGCCACTCCAAACAGATAGTGGCAATGTTTTGGTACCCAGAGTACTCACTCAGTCCTGCCAGACAGGCAAAGCGACTTGCTTCAGGCTCAATCTGTGTCTGCCTGCACAGCAAGTCACATTAGTCTTGCTTCAGGAGATTTGAAGGCAAATATTGCATCACTTTTTATCATCTCCAGTCTCACTAGATCTAGTTTCACCTCAAGTCCCAAACTCCCAAAGTCTGCAGAGTTTTGATCTTGACATATTTGATCTCTGGTGGAAGTTGTCCCCACTCATGGCAAGAGAGCTGGAACTGCATGATCTTCAAGGTCCTTTCCAACCCAAACCAGTCTGTGATTCTATGATATTGCCCAAGGGAGGATGTCTGTGTCCTACAGTCTTATCTCCAGACTCCTCCCTAGGCTGTTTCATGCTCCCCAGCTCCACTTGGCCATTTCTCCAAACTAAACCTACACGCAGTTGGGCTCAACAGCAAAAGTACAGCAAGCAGCCCTGTGAAACAAGACCTTACTAGCAGAAATGTCTTCTGTCAAGGCTTAAAACCATTCATGCCAAAGCAGATATGACCTAGTACAACCTAAGGACTTGCACTGCAGGTGGAGCTCTTCAAACTCAAGGTGACACTTGACATAGTGAAAAGCTAGGTATAGATGGAAGTACAGAAGGATGTTTTGACCATTCTGGCCCTCATCTTTCTCATCCCTCCTCAGCTTTGCCATCCAAGAACACTCACTTCATATACAGCAAAGACAAAGTAGTTGGATAAACCTGCTGCCAACTCATCATGGGACATGCAGACTATGGTTTGGAGGGTAGAACAAGGCTGGATCTTGATTCTCATGGGATTCAGAGCAAACCATGTGCTGCTAACACACAACCAGCTCTGTGTACCATGGAATGGTGAAGGGGAGTGATGTGCTCTGCTAAACAACCCCTGGACAGAGCTCAACATGCAGCACTAAACATCCTTCACCACTGCTCAACCTCTGCAATCCTCTGCACCCTAACATGCAATCAGCGTCTTCCCAGATGGGTTTATTCCATACTACAAGAAGTGTTTGCTGGCTCCAAGGAAGAACATGAAGCAAAGCCAAGGACCAAGTCTCTGCTGGGAGTCTTGCTCCAGGTAAGGTTTATTCAAACTATATGGAAGACAGAAGGAATTTGTTTGCTATTTGGTTTCTTCAGAAGGCTGTGGGGGGCACGCAGATCTGGGAACCCCCCAGGAAGAAAATCTCCCAATAGGGTTTGTGATTTCCTGCCATGCAGCAGCACACAAAGCCCATGTTCTCACTTGGCTGCTTCTGGCCTTCATGGTTGGTACAAACTCAGTGGGACAGCAAAAATCATTTAGCATGGCCAGAACTTCATGCCACCACCCACAGAGGCATCACAGTTAAAAACAGTGATGTAAATGAAGCTGGAATTTCAAGGGGCTGCTTAGAGAGAAAACATGAGAAATAAAGAGAAATAAAATAAAATACTTGAGTCATGACAGGTGTTTATCTCACCCAGTGCATACCCCTGAACTTGGAGAGGAGCTCAAGCACACTCCAGTCTACCCAATAGGTTCCAACAGCCTGGAGAGACCTTTTTTTCTGCTTTGAATGACAGGAAAATGTTAGCTGGATGCCTTAAAAAATTATTTGCAAGGCCAGTGCCTATACTACAATACACTATCTTGTCTGAAGTCAATCAGTCAGCAGAGAGACATGGATGTGTGACCATTCAACAGACCTAGACACAAAAGTACCCAAACTAGACACCTAAACAACACCCCAGGACAGCTTTGGACCAGACAACCATAAAAGGTCTCTTCCAACCCAAACTATTCTATGATTCTATGACTGTGCCCAAGCCAACATGTTCTATCTGCAGTCTGGACATGTCCAGAAACCTTGGAGATGAAAGGATTATATGATTATGATTCCAAGGTCTACCCAGAGGCAGAGGAATGTTTCATCATCTCACCCAGCCTTATGCTGATCTGCAGTGCAAAAGCACAGTGCAGATGTCTGGGGTCAGCACAGCTTGATTTTTTTGCAGACTGCCACATACTTGAGGCATTTTGCTGAGTGTAACCACTGCTGGTGAAGTCCTGCAAAGGAGATGAAGGCTGAGCTACAAGCTCTAACACAATAGTATAAGAAACTACTGTTTTAGCTCAAGGACCAAGCCTGAAAAGCAAAAAAATAACAAAACTAGCAGCTAAGAGAATGCAATAGCACAAAGCAGCCTGAGCAAGACAAAGATTGCCCTTTGGTTTGTGAGGCATCTACAACATCTGAGGTGTGACTTGACTCTGGGTTCATGCACTGCTCTACTACCACAGTAATTCAATCAGGAAGAGTGCCTGGAAGATATATTTGCCATATATATTCTCTGGAGAGCAGCCTGGAGACCAGCAGATCTGGCAGCATCATTGACACAGGTGGAAGAGTCAGACCACATAGTTCTAATCATGTGAGACTACTTACCATTGGGGCTCCACGGTGACCTATGATGACTGGCTTTGGTCCCAGAGCCTTCTTCTCCATTATGCAAGGGGATGAGATGGTGAGGGGGACGAGGTAAAGTGCAACTACAACTGCAAGGTATGCAGTGAACATCAGCATCTGAGAAGCTGAGATGGAAAGACAGAGAGAGAGAGCTGGTCAAAATGTTGGTCCTGACCTCCTCAGCACAGGAGCAACATCAAGACACCTTCATCCTCCTCCATAGGAGAGACAGGTCTACAGCTGTTGCCTCTGGTATAGCAGCAAAGCCCTGTGTTTAGGGAAAAACATATTCTAGTTTAAAGAAAAAAATCTCAAGTCCTGAGGGAGGTTTTCACTTCATTTTCTATTGAGGAAACAAAGAGTTAAGTGAATTGCTTAAACTCTCAGCAATGTAGCCTAAAACATTGATGATTTTCTACCCTTTGGGTGGGACAGCACCAAATTTTGCCCTGACAGCAGAAATAGATCACCAGGTACACATTTCTAACTATAAGCCATGGTACCACATCAGTACATTTAATATCACTTGTGTTTATATTGGTGGTTCACCAACACCAACGTATCAGCCAGGGTAAAGCCACTTTTAATTGCTTCTGTGTTAAAATCTGTGGCAGTCACAACTGAGTTCATTTGTAATGATGTTTTGCTGATTAAGCTGATGTTTAAGTAAATTCCTGGGTTGTGATGGGGCCAGATGAGCAGTCCTGCCTCCCACATCACCCACCTCCAACTATCAGTGACTTCCCACAAAGTCCGAGCTGTCTGGGAATCTTTGGAAGGTGCTGACAGTGAAACAGAAACAGCCCTTCTACCCAACAGATGTGTATTCCTTATGAAGAACAACAACTTTGAACTCTTGAGCTATTGGGAGTCATTTGAAACCACAGATGTTTTTTTTTTTTTAGCAAATATTTTTTAAATTTGAATTTAAATTTTAAATTTTTAAATAATATTTTAGTATTATTTATTTTGCAAACTCATTTAGGCTTTGGAACTCAAAAGTGATTAACCTCCAAAAGTGATTTAAAAAACCCTTTAAAACTAGTATTTGCAAAGGATGCAAGATGGAGAAGGTGGTGGGATTTTTAAGGGAAGGCCAAAAGAGCCCAGCTCTGTTCCTGACCACAACTGATCTGGTTTCACACATAATTAGGCTCCTTTTATCTTCCAGCATCTAATAACCTCATTCAAACATGTTCCTACAAGCCAGAAACTTTGCCAGTGAATTTCTCCTCTTCTCTGGGAGAGATGTCAATCACCCACGAAGCACTCAAGGAACTGAATGGCATCTTGCTAAGTGAGCTCATGCTGTGTCCTGCACCTTAAAAGTACAGTGCTCTGTGTGTCACAAGCATCAAAAGCTCCAGATGGACACAGGATGTGATCCTGACCCAATTCCTGCTCACCCTGGGAACACCAGGCTTGAAAAAATCATAAGCAGAGCTCAGGCTGTGCAAAGAACCTGGTGCTGCAGTTTAGGGATTAGATAGCTTGGATTCAGACTAAAGCCCCACATGAAATTCATGGACTCCCACATATCTAGATCATTGGACTGCAGCCACAAGGAAAGGATGCCCCAGCATGGGTCACAGACCATCTTAATGAAGAGCTGAAGACCTCACCTCATGCCTATGTAGCAACCAAGACCATGCACAAAACCCCCTGGAATTAAATACCAGCATGAAACACAAAGTACATCCTGCTCAACTCAAGGTTGGATGGTCTATATGGAAGAAGCTTTCCTGGAGACCAACCAAGGCAACCAAGCAGGACAGATAAATTTCCCACTCTCCACAACAGGACAACACCACCACCATGATTTAGGTGGAAGCCTTCCTTCTCCACCCCTCCTGCTCTTAGAGACCACTCCAGCCTAGTCTGGGCTCCCATAAGAGCATGTGTCTCACTCATGTTTGCTACTTGAGGCTATCAGGGATGCTTTTACAGGCTGAGAAAGTTGGGGCTGTTCAGCCTGGAGAAGAGAAGGTTGTGTCGTGACCTCATAGCAACCTTCCAGTACCTGAAGGAAGCTGGAGAGGGACTCTGCATCACGAATGTAGTGATAGGGTAAGGGGGAATGGGTTCAAGCTGAAAAGGGAAATTTAGGTTAGATAGGAAGAAATTCTTTACTGTGAGGGTGGTGAGACACTGGCACAGCTGAGAGAGAAACAAGAAAAAAAGAGAAATAAGGAAAAAAAAGAGAAACAAGATTAAAAAAGAGAAACAATAAAAAAAGGAAAATAATTAAAAGCCATTTTTTTGGGAACTCAGCTGCAAGAGAAAAAGGATGAAGAATTCAGAAGGAGCCTTATTGGCACATTTACGAATGAAGGCAGAACAATTCTTTCTTAAAGGTCTTTCTGCATAGCAAAATCTTTCCATCCTTCAGACATCGTTTCCTCATCCTTAACTCCCACTTCTTGGAAGTCTTTTGCAAGTGCTGCCAAATCCTTCCAGGGCTTGATTTTTACTGCAGGTTAAATAGCAATTAAGATAACTATTTTTCTGGAGCTGGCAGGAATGTCTGAGAACATCCATGGATACCTTGGAGAAAACCACTTCTGAGGGTGTAGAAGGATCAAATTATTCCACAATAAAACCAGGAGAAACAGCTCAGAAGAGCCTTGGCAAGGAGATGGGACAGGGGAGATACACAGAAGAGCTTATTTCAACAGACACATCCGCCTACAAGAAGAGCTCAGCATGTCCTTCACTGCTCTGCTCCCCAGAGAGCATCCACACCCCCAGCATGGCTGAGCTGAACCCTGGGAAGGAACCAGCACTGCCTCCTGCCAGCTGGCTCCCAACCAGAGGACCCCAACAGCCGCTCCCCAGCCCCCAATGACCATGCAAGGACAGGAGAGGTACTCACTGGCTTTCTCTGTCCGTGCAAACTGCCCTGCTACCAACCATGACAGTGCTGTGACTGCTGCCAGGGCTCCTATATGCAAGAAAGGGGCTGTGGCCTGCAGGACACAACAACAGGAGACAAAAATGTGATTAAAACCACCCCAGCACCAGGCAAATCATAGATCTTGCAAGTTCCATGAGGCATCAGAGTGCTCTATTTCCAGTTGAAGTCCACATTGTGCCTACATCAAGCTCCTGAAGCTGTTTTGGTCATAGCTTCTTCTAAACAGGGTAGATTCAGCCTGTGTCCCAGGCAACAAGACACATGCTAGAGAAGGCAGGAGACCCCCATCCAGTGCCTAAAGGGGCTCCAAGAAAGCTGGAGAAGGACTTTGGACAAGGGTCTGGAGGGACAGCACAAGGGACAATGGCTTCCCACTGCCAGAGGGCAGGGTTACATGGGATACTAGGAAGGAATTTTTCCCTGTGAGGGTGGTGAGGCACTGGCACAGGTTGCCCAGAGAAGCTGTGACTGCCTCATCCCTGGAAGTGTTCCAGGTCAGGTTGGATGGGGCTTGGAGCAATCTGATCTTGTGGAAGGTGGCCCTGCCCATGGCAGGGGGTGGAACTGGATAAGCTTTAAGATCCCTTCCAACCCACTGTTCTATAAATCTCCAAGCACGCTGGACTGTGTATCATCATGGTGTATCATCATGGTGCATCACCACGAGAGAAAGTTGGAGATGCATCATCTGAGTCATGCTTCTGCTCTCCAATTGCCTGTCTAAACTTGTAACAAAAAGCAATAAAAGAGAAGGACTTCTGAGAAATGTTAGTCACTGGTGTGAATGCCATTTCCACCTCCTGTATTTGCATATATTTGCATACTCCCAAATATACATCAGTGATCATCAGTACAATCTCTTAAGCCTTTCATGGGCAAAACATTTTTGGACTCTTTTTATGAAGAAGAGGCAAAAAAAGGAACAGAGCAGGTCCATCGAGAAATTTACAGTTCGTAAGTATTTGCCTCTTCTATAGCACTGAGGCATATCACAAGTCTTTCTCAGAACAGCACCAGAGCACACAAGTTAAATTTATATATGTCTAAACACAGTAGATGTGCAACGTGAAAAGTAACCCAGAGTCCTCTTCCCATAGGATTGGGAAGAGTCTGGGACTGGATACCAATGTTCCCAAGAGCAGGAATTGCAAATTGGCCTCTCCCTCCAGCAACTCTGAGTCACACCAGCCTCAGTATTTTCCACCTCAAATTCTGCAGCCAAGCTCTGGTTAGAGTTTAAAGGAAAGAGCCCAGGAGATGGAGACAAAGTGATATCATGGCCCTGGGGACTCCATGGAAGTTTTCTCATTGTCAAGATTTCAATATTGGGACTGACAAACATCAAGACTGAGTTTCTTACCACAGAAAGCCACAAAATCCCTGGCATTTAGCTACACTATTCCTTTCTCCACTCAGAGAATCATCCTTGCAGACTTACTTGCAGTGAAATAAATACCATGTCCCACTCGTCGTCCCAAAGCTGTGCTATGGATGACATGGTCACCACAGTAGTTATCAAGGTTGTCACCAGGCCAATCTGCAACAAATCATAGAGTATTTACAGCCTGAAATCTATATTTTTTACAGATTTTTACAAATTTACAGATTGAGAAATGGAGAGAGAAAAGTTTTGCATGTAATAAAAGGCCTAAAACAACCAGGGGAAAGAGGTTGGACTTATGTGCTGTCCCTCACTCAATTTAACTGTCCACCACTTGGATGGGGCTTGGAGTAACCCAGTCTAGTGGAAGGTGTCCCTGCCCATAGCAGGGGGGTTGGAACTAGATGGCATTTAAGGTCCCTTCCAACTCAAACCAATCTAGGATACTAGTCCAGGATTCTGTTTAGACAATAAACCTTGAACACCCCCAACAGACAACAAACATTGCACTTCAGTAGAGTGAACATATTTGTAAGCAAGGCTGTGTTTGCATCCCCATTACAAAGCAATCATCTTGAGATGTTTCAAGCTCAACTTTGGGCATGGATGTGACTTCACCTGGGTCTGAAATTGCAACAACTGTACAGTCAGCATCCAGGATAGCAGAGGAGTTATAGCAGACACTGCAGCTTGAGAAAGGATTCTGGATGAGACAGTGGTTGAATTGAGATGGCAGACCAAGACCCAGCAGCCACCTCCAGCAGCCTCCCTCTCCTTTCACATAGAAGCACTCAGAAGTCTAAGCAAAGCAATCAGAATGAAAATGTGACCTCCATTTTCAAGGTAAAAAGTTCAAACCACCAAGAATTGCCACTGAAACAATTCCACTGTAAAGTCTGAAAATTTGAGCTGTCTGTCAAGAAATAATAATGCATCATTCCCTGCCTCTGTCTGGTGTCTCAGTCCCTGCTGTTCTGCATCCTGATTCAAAGGATGCTGCTGCTGCTTTATACCTCAGTCTCATGTACTGTCTAGATTCAAAATCTGTGTGGTAGACTTGGGCAGAAAAGGCCAACTGATACACAGCAATGAACTCATCATCTCAGATGCATCTCTCGACCCATTTCACATTTACTTAATACCGTAGACAAACAAATAAAATCCCACGTTCCCAATGTTTACAGAAATCACTTTTGTACATACTGACACGGTATCTCTTTCTAGTTTAGCCTCAGTTCCCTCCTGCTGTTCCTCACCCAGACACCCACAGACAGACCTGTCAACAGCACAAGGTGTCCACAGGAACTGGGCCTCCAGTTTCCAGGGTATATGAACAAACCACATGGGACAGCAGAAGAGACCAAAAATCCAGCAGCCCCAGGATGAACTGGATCCCTGGGCTAAGAGGTTGCATTCAAACCATCTGCTAACACAAACCAACCCAATTCTGCATATCCAGGTAAGGCTGGGATTTGCTTGCCTATTTAAGACACCCCCAGTGACCTGTGGTGGTCAGACATGCTCTTTGAAGACATTGCCTCATTAGGGACTCTGAAACAACAAAGCACAAAGCAATGCATGTGCACAGTTGCACTTGGCCATGGGGCTGTGAATGCAGTAGTTATCTGCTCCCTCATGCTGGGTCAGGCCCCTGAGCCACCCACACCAGCGTGTAACACCAGCACACAACCCAGACTGAGTCTGCTTTTCAACCATTTTGTATCCCCCAAAGCTGAACTCCAAATTCAACAGCAACAAAAGACTTTGTCAACAAGAGTTCTTCAGCACAGCCCTAATTCCCCCACAGTGGTTGCCCTGTGTGGCACAGAGGTGTCAGAATACAAACAAATCTGTGTTCCACCCTTCCCTCCTCCCATCAGCTCTGATTTATTGCTTCTTAGCCTCCTCCATCCATCTCTAACTTGGCTTAAAATCCTCAGCTCTTTTTACAGACTTACAGGAGCAAACTAGAAGGAATCCTGTGGTTTGCACATATCAGCCTTTCCCACACACTTTAATCTATATTTGAAGGTAATTCAGTTGCAGGGGAAAATATTAACTCATTCCTGGCTCTTATCTCAAACTCCTTAAAAAGCTGAGGGATCTGTGGGGAAGGGAAGAGACAGAGCAACACATCTGAGTTGTGATGAAAGGTGGGTTTCTTTGTAAGAAGGGAAGGAAGGGTGGGGTTCCATAAGGTAGAACTGACTGATCTCCACCAACACATTCCTCTTCTGGACTTACTCATCTAAACCCACCAGCCAGCTGGAGTGTCTGAAAAATACCATTTCCCCTGATGAAGAAACATATGTTAGACTCAAGAATTGACAATTTATTTTGCAGCAGCAGTCAGACAGTCTCTGTCCTCTCTTGGACTGCATCCCCTTCTCCTGAGGAAGCATAACTTCTATCATTTCTAAGAAAAAAAAGAAAGGGCAGGGAAGTCTCTGCTCCCTCTGTCCTGAGGTGAGACATCTGTTCAGGCTCTGATCCTGCAAGACCTTGTCATGTGCAGAACAACCAGTTTCAGGAGGAGCTGTGTATCAGCAGATTCAGGACTGGTCCCTTCATTACCCATTAGCAATTTGCCAGTTACAACTGAATTCTGCCAACCCATGAACTTCCCCTCCCTACATATTCTTCCTCTCCCCTTCTGTGCTCCAAACACCAGATCTGCATCCTCTCATGTTTCACAGCAATGCTTTCCAGACTGCTTTTCATACACATCAGGATCTCTGTGGGTCCCAGCACACCTCAACCTATACATTGCACACCCCTAGTTTTAACACATCTTCTCCCAAGGCTTTTGCAGTCAGTTCCTCCAAGCACATTCTGAAGTTTCATGTCTGCTCAGCTCCTCCTCCAGGGCTGGGTTTAACACAAAAAGAAGCCCCAGAAGGGGGCTCTAATGACCTGGTGCTTCTCCATCTCTACAAGTAGGCCCTCTGTCAGCAGGGACCCCAAAGCATTTCATCAAATTCTTTGTCCCCAGGCTTTGACAGCCCCTCCTGAACAATTTGTTCAGTCCTCTGAGATGAGGACACCTGCACCACAGACATTTTATGCTCTTCCTGAAGAGACAATGACAGCAAGTGCCACATACACCACCTGCTCCTTAGCCTCCTGCGTTATTGAGATCCTGCTCACTGTGAAGCTGAGGAGAGCCATTTACCTTGTGAAGCCAGTGCAGGTTCATTTGCTGTCCCACAGCTATGTGACATAGTGCTAGTATCTGAGAGGAAGAAACCAAGAGTCAGACAGAGGCACATCACAAGCTTGAAGTGTTTGAACATGCAGGAACACACGACCATCCAAGGAGATAACCAAACACACCAGGGCAGCCAGCAGGGCTTGTGTGAGGGTGTTTCAGCAAATGCTACCTAGCTTAATTGTACAAACAGATCCTCTCCAAAGCCAAGGATGTGGAGGAAAAGACTTTGACCTTCAAGATGCAGGGAGTTGAGTCTGGCCCATGGGTAGACAGCTCCTGGGACTGCAGGAAGCAGTGCCTACATGTGACCAGGTACCACACACTACCTGAATGGACACCACCTTGAGGGTCCCAACACCCTGAGATGAGGGGAAACAACTTGCACTTGTGTCTAGCAGAGACATCAAAGTGAAAACAGGGCCATACTAAGGAAAAAACCTGTATTTCTCCTCAGGTCAACTGCAACATTGGTATCAGGGTATCTGTCTTGATCATCCAAGGTAAAATTTTTCACTTTCCATTTATTTGAGGCAAGGTAAAGCTAAGAGAAAGAATGAGAGAAAAATCACTTCTGAAAGGAAAAGTCCTCAACACACAAACCTCTAAGAAACAGCATTCTATTTTACTCACCAGTAACACTGTAATGTAGGTGAAGCCAGCAGCAGTTGTCACAAGTATTGGAATGGACCAGTCACTCCAATATCCCATTCTGTTATATAAAAACCTGGAAGATAAGTATGAAGCACAGATTAAGATGGGATTCAACACCATAACAGCTTCACTAGGATTAGACAAAACTTGAGAAAATGGGTCTCTCCATCCTCTTTCTACAGATGAGTCTAAGGCAGGAAAAAGCACAAGTTACTTTGAAACAAACCGCAGTGTTTGTGCTTTGATCCCTCAAGGGAAATTAACTCTGTTAAAAGGAATTGGACACAGCAACAATTTTACATGGGAAAAAAACCCAATCATACAAGACCAGAGACTGAGTTTGCTGAAAAATATTCTCTATGTACAAGAGAAAAGTATCTCCATGTGAAGTGGTGTTTGCCTAAACAACAGATCCAATCTGTCCCATGAAATTCTTCCCCGGGAAGGTGGAGAGACACTGGCACAGGTTGCCCAGAGAAGCTGTGACTGCCCCATCCCTGGAAGTGTTCAAGGCCATGTTGGATGAGGTTTGGAGCAACCTGGTCTAAGTGGAAGATGTCCCTGCCCGTGGCAGGGGGTGAGACTGGATGATCCCTAGGTCCCTTCCAACCCAATCCATTCCATGATTCTATGAATTGGCGTCAGGACTTCCCAAAATGGGGCTGACTAGAGGAACTGCGTATTTTTGATCTTCTCATCTTGTACTACCTGAAGCGTTGATCTGCCCAGCCTGAAGGAAGCCTCTGGGATGTTTTGGCTCAGTGGGTTCCCTTCTCTTGGGGCTTCCATTTACCTTAAAGCTCTGCATAAGAGAGAGGCCACTCAACGGCCCTGCGATCCCTTGGCAAGAGGCAGCAGCAATGTCCTGATGGAGGATCAGAGCAGGGGCTGAAGTGGGGTTAGAGCAGTACTGAGGTACAGATGACATCCTACAAGTGTATCTCCAAAGCTTCTACCTCCAAACCAGCTTCTTTGGTTCACTCTTCACCTTGGCTTTTGGGACTGCAGTGCTCTTGCCCCTCCACCTCTCCATAACTAAACTAATTTTCTTTTCTCCTCTATTTATCTAGGTCTCCTCCCCAGTCCCAGTTATCAGGTGTTCCAACCTGTATTTCAGAAGGCAGATTCAGCTCAGCTTCCTGCCTCTCCTCATCACTTCCATGGAGTAAATGGGCAGCAAAAGCTTTATGAACAGGAGCACCAGGTGAAGCAGATCATTACTCACAGCAGCAGCACTGAACTAATTTTCTTTTCTCCTCTATTTATCTAGGTCTCCTCCCCAGTCCCAGTTATCAGGTGTTCCAACCTGTATTTCAGAAGGCAGATTCAGCTCAGCTTCCTGCCTCTCCTCATCACTTCCATGGAGTAAATGGGCAGCAAAAGCTTTATGAACAGGAGCACCAGGTGAAGCAGATCATTACTCACAGCAGCAGCACTGCCCCTTGTGCCTAGATTTGAGTCTCAAATGTCCAATTTGCATTTAAATAGCAATATACTTCCCAGAAAAACTATCCTGGAGTTGGATTAGAGAGTCATTAAAGCACATTACAGCAAGGCCATAGCAAGATACAAGGTAAGACTCAGACCAGTACCTTCCCTGGGCAAAAGTGAAGAAGGGCACCTAGACCCTTCCACACCAGGAGAGAGGCAGACAAAGCTCAGAACCCTTCTTGCAACTTCTGAGTGTTCAAGCTTGACATGGATTACAACTTTTTCCACTGGATTTTTAGGAAAAAAAAACCCCAAGCAACACATCTCTAAACAGACTTGGATTATGGTTAACATTATTTCCATCCAGATCCTTTGGTACAACAAGGACAAGATGGTTACGGGGTGGATGATGGGGCTCAGTTGAATAGTCCCACCAACGTTTCTCAGCTCATTCAATGAACTGTCCGGGTTCTTTTGTTGCCAACAGATACAAATGCTGCATGTAAATAGATCAGAGACCCAACCTCGTCCCCACCACTCAAATCCAACATCATTCATCAGCCAGAAACTGGTGTAGCAACTGACCCATCTGAACAATACCTATCTGGTGTGATTTTTGGGGTTGTCCTGTGCAGAATCAGGAGTTAGACTTGCTTGTGGACCCTTTCCAGCTCAAGATATTCTGTGAGTCTAATTCTGTCCAGGAGTAAAGCTCCCTCAGAGGATCTGGAAAGCAAATCCTTGGGCTCAACATGGCCCATGTCCAGGTTCTGCTTGGGAATTCAAAGAGCCACAACGACAGGGATCTGGAGGGATTCAGACATGCTACCAGTAAAAAAGAGTAATCAAAAAAGAAAGCAAAGAAGGGTCCTCTGAAGTCTTTGCTCATGCCACCACTGAGAGCCTCCTTAGCTCAGCTTCAGTGCATTTAAGTTTTGCTCTGATGTCCCTTCCAGTGTCCCTCTGATAGCATCAGGTCTTCACTTGATGTGCAAATGACTGGTTTCATATGTTGTTTCCATGGCAGTTATGAACCAGATGAGCTTTCTCCTCAAGTAAAGAAGACAAAATTTGCTCCACAGAATTGCATTCATAGTCCTGCTAGAGGGAGAATATAAGTCACAGCATCTCCCATAGCCTTCTTCAACCACAGTTTCTGTTGCAGTCCATACCTTACACACTGGAGAGTAAAATGCAATTAAGTAGACACCAAAAAAGGGAAATGCCCAAAGCAATAAATTTTAAACAAAAGGATTTACTTCAGAGGCACAAAGTGGTGTTCACTATCAAGGACCTCATTGATATTCAGCCCTGAGCAAAAAGAAGGTTAAAAGCCTGAAGCAATACATGTTGGGCTACAATTTTGCCTTGTCCTTTAATACCCAATTCAATGTCAGAGTAGCCCCTTGAGTTTTTACAAGCTGAAAGGCCAAATCCTCACCTTTAGGGAGGTAAATCCTACCACTGCCCCAATTTTATTGAGTCAGATTGGGTTTCCATAGATAGATGCATGCAGTGTTGGACCCCAAATCACTGCCTCAACCTCTGGCAGCGTTTGCTGTCCTGATCTGTAGGTTTCTACTGCCTCTTAAGTCACCTCTGGCTGCTGCACAGCAGCATTTAGCAATTCTCTGCACATAGGGATAAGACATAAAGAGCATTTTAATGAATCCAGGTCTCAAGTACCATTTTAACCAAAAGAACACAGAAAAGACATGTTGCAGTGCACTGGAGTTTCAACTAGAATAATGAGTTTTACATTTGAAGATCTTACCACTCTCTACAACTACGTGACAGCAGGTGCAGCCAGGTGGAGGTTGGTCTCTTCTCTCAGGGAACAAGGGACAGGAGAAGAGGACGCAGCCTCAAGTCATGTCAGGGGAGGTTTAGGTTGGATATTCAGGAAAATTTATTCGTGGAAAGGGTGGTCAAGCCCTGGCACAGGCTGCCCAAGGCAGTGGTGGAGTCACCATCCCTGGAGGGAGTTAACAGACATGCAGGAGCAGCACTTGAGGGCATGGTTAGTGGTGGCCTTGGTAGTGCTGGGGAACTGCTGGACTTGATGATCTCAGAGGTTTTATCCAACCTAAGTGATTCTATGATTCTAGGCTAATAACCCTGCCAAGAAAGACCTGGAATTATGGAGAACATGAGGTGGAATGAGCCAACAGGATACCTCTACTGGGAATAAGACAAACTACATACTGGGTGGCATTCAAAGAAGTGCCACCAGCAGACCAAGGAAAGTTGCTCTCCCAAACTCAGCACTGGTTTGGGCCTCCCAGTTCTGGGATGACATGGAGAGGGTCCAATGGACAACCACCAAACCAAGATGGTAAGACAGCTGGGGAACACAGCTTACTAGGAAAGCTTGAGCAAGCTTGACTTGTTTAGTCTCACAGAAGAGGCTAATGATGATGAGATGACCTAATTACTGCCAAAGCTGTCTGAGCAGACAGTTAAAGAGGTAAAACCAAACTCCTCAAGGGTGGCAGACACTCACAAGGGAGAATGGCCCTTAGAGGTTTGAGTTGAAAATCTTCTCACAGAGGGTGGTACAGTGCTGGAAGAAGTCCCAGAGAGGGGGGAATTCCTCACCCAGTCTTCAACCTGATCTGCTGCTGCTGATAGCCCTCCTTTGAGGGGCTAGTTGGTCAGATGGCTCCAGTCTTTCTTCACCTACTGTAGTGGAACAGGTTGAAGAAGTGCATTGTAGCTCCCTGCACAATACATGAGGTAGGAGAGCTCACAAGGATAAGCTTTGGAGGGCAGGAATAAGCCCAGCAGCTCCTCACACCAGTATGACAGCAATTCCTTCTCCCAGTTCCTCTGTGGAGCCCCTGGCAGCAGCTTGGTGTGCTAGATCCTGTGCAGAGCTGCAGTTTGCCCCAAAGAGCTCTTCCTCTAGTTCGAGGGAGGTCATAGCTTGCAAATAAATCAGTGGAGCAGAGAGGAAGGCAGGAGGAATAAGCATCGAAGAAATCTTGTCCACCAATACAGCCCAGAAGTGATAACCAGTGAGGAACAGCAAAGATGGTGTTTCTAAGAACCAGGACCTCACTGTACCTCATCAGCAACAGGTTCACAGCCGTGCTGGGAGCAAAATGATGCTTACAAGTCCTTCACACCCTGTCTGGCTGGAAAATGGTCTGTTTTACTGGAGCCCACATGTGTGCTGGGAGGGAAGAGGGTCAGGCCCAGCCTGCATGGCCCCAGTGGAAATTGTTTCCTCCCTGCATGGAACTGGCGTGGCTGTAATTAAAACCTCACCCCATGCTATCATCCTCCCTCTCAGCCTTTCCACAGGGTTTCAGGCTGTTTTTCAGGAGCCCTGCTGTTCTCCTCAACCTCTGGAGCTGGTGCAGGGAGCAGGGAGCTAATTGGGGTAAGAGCACACACGAAGCACTGACCCATTTTCAGCGCTGAGTGGCAATATCTGAACAGATGTTTCCCCGCTATTTTCCATCCAGAGAGGCTCTTCCATGACTGTTGTGCCCAAGAGGGAATCCTTTCCCAGTGCTGTCAATCCAGATGTGCTACCAGCACCCTATGGCATGGCAAGGGAAGGGGCTTTGGTCTGCAGGTGACATGTGTGGACCTGTTAAATCCCAAATGCTGCTTGCACCCGGAGCCAGCCTGCACATGTCCTCCCGTTCCTGCAGAAATATTTGGGAACACAAAACTTGGCACTGTGCTGGTGCTGCAAAGCCCATTCACAGCATTCCCAGGGCTTTCCTTCATCTCTGCATGAATTTTTTTAGTCTTTTCACAACTTTGAGCTAAGACAGATTTGGCTTTGCAAAGGGGCAAACTAGGAGCATTTCCATCCCTTACTGAAAATATAGAAAGAGACGAGTTCCAATATGCCACTTAAAAAAAAGCATATCCATCATGTTAGTATTACAAATAATCAAGAGCAATGGTGATGGTTTCAGTTCTCACAGTGTGGGGTTGAGCAAAGAGGAAAACCACACTCCTAGGAAGAGACAGATCATGCCATTATGTGAGTAAAAACTCTCCCTCACACCACTTCAGCATCCAAAGCAGATGATTTATTTAAGAGATCAACTACCCACTGTGTTTTAAAATACACTTCACACATTATCTTTGACAAGAAGATGATGTCAAAGCAGCTTGGTTAGAAGACAGCCCAATGTACTGTTCAGACAGTGAAAGGGAAAATAATTCCCAGCACTGGAGGGAGCTGGCAACACTCGAAACTCCCAGCATATCCCACTGGAAAGCTCCTTTTCAGCTCCTTCCAACTTTGCAGCATTTTCCACACCAATGTGCTTCAGGATGAATTTTTGCCATTGATATCTTGTGGAAAGTTGCAGCCAAATTGCTCACCCACTTCCAAAACCAGCCAACCGTAGACATAAACACACCAAAAAAAAAACCCAACCAAAAACGTTCTACATGATCTTAGCACCATCTTTGTTTCCACATGCTGTTCACTGTGGAGCACATCCATCCCACATTCTGTTGCAGCCATGCAAGGGAGATGTGAGGACACATTACATCTATACATATCTCCCTCAATCTCACTCAGTCCCACTTCATGGAATCATAAAATGCTAAAGGGTTGGAATGGATCTTAGAGATCCTCTAGTCCCAACTCCCTGCCCTGGGCAGGGACACCTCCCACCAGAGCAGGTTGCTCAAGGCTTTATCCAACCTGGCTTGGAACACTGCCAGGGTTGGGGCAGCCACAACCTCCCTGCGCAACCTGTGCCAGTGTTTTATCATCCTCACAGGAAAGAATTTCTTCCTCATATCTGATCTAAGTTTCCCTCTTTCAATGTATACCCGTTATTCCTTGTCCTATCACTCCAGTTCCTAACACAGAGTCCCTCTCCAGCTTCCCTGCAGGTCCTTCAGATACTAGAAGGTAAGAGCAGAGTAGAGGGGGCACCTCACCTCCTTCAACCTGCTGGCAACACTCCTGTGGATGCAAATTCTCAGCATCTATATCAGGTCTGATGTGGAGCACTGTGCCCAACCCATGGCACTGTAGTTGAAGACAGATGTAGAATTAGCTAGAGCACACTGGGCACCAACTTCCCACTTCATTTTCCCTTTATCATCATTACCAAATCCATCCACACCTCCTTCAACCTGCTGGCAACACTCCTGTGGATGCAAATTCTCAGCATCTATATCAGGTCTGATGTGGAGCACTGTGCCCAACCCATGGCACTGTAGTTGAAGACAGATGTAGAATTAGCTAGAGCACACTGGGCACCAACTTCCCACTTCATTTTCCCTTTATCATCATTACCAAATCCATCCAAATCATCAAGGCTGGAAGAGACCTGTAAGATCATCAGGTCCAACCATTAACCTGCCACTCTGCTGTAACCCCTAAATCATATCCTCTAGTGCCAGACCCAGATGCCTCTTAAACATTTCCAGGGATGGTGACTCCACTGCCTCCCTGGGCAATCTATTCCAGGGCCTGACCACCCTAACAGTAAAAAAATTTTTTCCTAACATCTAATCTGAATCCCAACATCTAATCTGAATCTTACTGGATGCTGGATGTGTTTGGATCTCAGAGGATCCAAACTTGGTGTCAAATAGCTCTGAAAGGCACTTGATGGCAAGCAGATTTCTGAAAGAAAACTCTACTCACCAGTTGATTTCATTGTAGTCATTGTGAACTTCCCACCAGAAGTAAAACCAGACCAGGGTGAGGAAGAAGGATGAGGTGAGGATGAGGAACCAGAGGCGCTCCCACTGGGGATGGAGAGAGAAATCAGTATTAATACTATCCCATTTCAGGGCCACATCCTATCCCACATCCCATCTAGAAGCTGTTGAGCTTGGATGGAGCAAATACACATTTACAAGGGCAAACTTCAGACCTTTGTTCCCTAGGGAAGGTGGGAGATACAAACCTGTTCCCCAGCTGTAAGCAGAGGAGTCATTTATGTCAACACATCTATGTAGGGCCGGAAGAGCTTTCCTCCAGCCCTCAGGGAATGTGGAATAAGGAAATATTTTTGGATACAGAGCTGGTTTTTGTTTGGTGAGGGTTTTCTTGTTTGTTTGGGTGGGGTTTTGTGAGGTAATTGTTTCATTAACTTTTCAATTCACATGACTGGTGCAAACTTTCCATTTTCCTCTCCCATGGGTTCAGTCTAAATGAATGAGCAGTTATCACATGGTGAAGATTACACACCCAGTTAGGGATGTTACTACTCCTTACTCCTTCCTCCAGAGCCAAACCACCCATCCACAACATTTATTCCCATCACCACCACATATGTAAGTGGATGAGAGACCACACAGCATTGGATGAAAAAGATTTGCACCAACATTCAGTTTTGATAAATGTTCCAAATTCCACTCAACACACACAAAATAAATGGTCTTAAAAAACATCTGTTCAGTGCCCTTCTCCAGTACCATGAGTAAAATCCTAAACCACAAGGACATTCATGAAGACAATATGGTTGCAAGAAAACTGTCCCTAAGCAGTACCATTTCCATATACTCCTTGTTGGTTTTACCTTAAAGTGTTAAATTAGTCCCTCATGGGTTCTCATTTCAGCTAGCAAAACACTGAAATCAATTCTTTACGGAAAATATTAAAATGAATCCTCTCTTTTCCCAGAAGGAGCAAGGAAGGGTGAAAATTGAAAGTATATACACTATAATTCCCTTCTGCACCTTGAGCACAACATTGATCTCTTCAGAAAATGGCCTTTTCTCTAGTGACCTGTCTTGGGGCTTTTCAATTATGCAAAACACTAACCAATATAAACACTGTTTCAGTAATATAATAAAAACTACTATTTTTTGCCTTCATATTCAATCTTAAGGGCCAAAGCTATTTACTTAACTGTGTATTGACTATTTTTTGTCATGCATCACCCTGGATACCAATCTTGTGATACAGCTCTTCCTTGTATGCTCCGTCATAGGAGAACAAAGCAATAAAAAGGGTTGGAATTATTTCATTTTTGCTGTGCCAGAAAATGAGGTTTTCTGCTAGAAATTCCCAATTCTTGGCTGGCGTTATGGTCAAAACACTGTTTTTTCAACTCAGCTCAAGTCTGTTAGCCATTTTCTAGCAAACCTTACTAGGAGCAGATGCCTAAGTCCTATCAAGGGCTTTGTGTCCATAAATGGGGTGAAAGGGACCAGAAGGAGGTACAAAGGATCTTCTACAGTGCAGCTGCTGAGTATATTCAAAACCATACGGCAAAACTACTCTGTCATGAGCTTGGAGACTATCATCCAAGTCATGGCACCCAACTTTGCCAGAGAAGCTGTGGCTGCCCCATCCCTGGGAGTGTTCCAGGGCAGGTTGGATGGGGCTTGGAGCAACCTGGGCTAGTGGAAGGTGTCCCTGCCCATGGCAAGGGGGGTGGAACTGGATGATCTTTAGGGTCTCTTCCATATCAAACCATTCTATGAATCCCTTCACCTCATGCACAGGTGGTCTCCTAAAGGGAAACTCAGAGGCTGGAATGAGGGGATTCTACCCAAATCCTCCCACCTTTGGTAGCAGGATGGCAGCCACGGTATCCTGCATCAGCTCCATGGCCAACACCAGCCTTTCCTGATCCTAAACACAGCACTGAGGCTGCAATCTTTCTCCTCCACACCAACCACTGCCTCATCACCAAGCCAACCCTTTCCAACCAGGATGTTTCTGATCAAAATCCACCCATGGAACATGTGGATTACATAAACACCAAAACCAAATCCCATTCACACCTTCACTCCATCCCACCAAAACTCCCCAGGAGGAAGTAACTGCTAACCCTTTCAGCAGAATATGACTATTTTCTCCTGGATATCTTCCAGTCCGCACATCTCCAAGAATTAAGCCTCATTTTCCCTGTTGTTTGCTTGGGTTTTTCCTCCACCCCATTGGGTCTAACACCTCCTTGCACCTATCAGCTGAATGGGTTAACTGGACAGGCTTTTACAAGGCAAGTGAGGTTTAATATATCTCAAGTGCTGAGATGCAGCATCAACATTGATAGAAAAGAAAAAAAATAACTCTCCAGCTCTTTCAAGGTCACTGTGGGATAAACTTTGCCAGTATTCATCCACTGGCTGACACTGATTTGATAAACAAGGCAAGGAAAACATTTCAGAACATGTTTGAGCTTTTTTTCCCCACATATATTGCACACATATATATAATTTCCCCCTCCCTTATTTACATGCAAGCAGCATAGCTTGTGTCAAGCTCTCCAAAAGCTATTTTTGGTCTGTCCTTGATAGTGTACTTGCCAGATATATATGCCTCACTGATTTTGTGAAAACCCAGTCAAATTCTTCTATTCAATGAGTTCAAGCACAGTTCTGGCTGGGCTTTTAGAAGAATATGGAATATCTTGATCTGTAAGGTTCCTTCCAGCCATTCTATGATTCAATGATCCTCCCAGCACCACAGATGCAATTCAGCGCAAACTGAAACAGAATCTGAACCTCTGTCAGTCTGATGTGCACAACATACTGCATTTAGCCTGCGCCGTGTACAACCTCCCTCCATCAGCCCCTCATATAAAGAGCTTTACTGGGCCCTATTTTGCAAGGTCCCATGTGCTTTTTAAAGCAAGGTGAAATCTGCAACATGCTTCAAACCTCTCCTGCTAAAAGTAAAGACTTCAAATCAGTCATGCTGATCACTCAGTCATGGCAACAAGTAGGTGGAGGAAGCAGTGCCACTTCACCTACAGAAACTGAGGCAGAACCACTAGGATGCTTGAAGATGCTTGAAAAGGCATCCATACTTTCAGCTCCATGAGATGTTATAAGAATGTCAGCACTGACATTTTTGACAGTTCTAGGAAACCTTGCCTTCCCCTCTTCACACTAGGATAACATGGACATGCTCACCAGTTCCTAATTACCTTCACTAGCCACAAACATGCTCAGCTCCCACAGCACTCAGTGCTGTTCTGCAAGTGAACCTGACCAAGCACATCAGAATTAGCACCTTCATTCCTATCAGGATGCATTCTAGAGGTAGCTCATGATTTTACCCTGCTTTCTATGATCTGGTTCACATCCCTCAAGGGCTTCAGGTGAAGTTAAACCGGATGTGCTCCAGGAGTGAACCCAACACACCTGAACTGCCAGTAGGCACTTGGTCCACAGGACCAGATTATGGCTGGTCTAAGTGACCACACTACCACCTCCAAAATGATTGGACCTTGGATGTTGGGATATCAGCACCAATCATCTCCCTCCACAAACCTCTTCTCTTGGGCCACACTACTTTCTAACACACCTATAGCCATGATGCCTCACAGAATACCACAAAACAATATTAATCTCATTATACCAACATTTAATTTGAAAGGAGAGCAATGAATGAAGAGCTACCTTTTACCTCCAACTAATTGGCCAGAGAGGACATGTACCATAAGCTCAGTCAACCTCAAACTAGCCAACATAGAATCAGAGAATTTTAGGGGTTGGAATGGACCTTAGAGATCATCTAGTCCCAAGCCTCTCTGCCATGGGCAGGGACACCTCCCCACTACACTGGGTTGCTCAAGGCTTTAGCCAACCTGGCTTTGAACATCACCAGGTTTGGGGCATCCACTATTTCCCTGGGCAACCCATTCCAGTGTCCTGTCACCTCACAGAAAAAAAACTTTTTCATAATATCTAGCCTAAATTTCCCTTCCTTCAACTTGAACCCATTGAACATGGACAAAGTCTTTGCAAAGCACACCCACTGAGATGGCTGCAGCCCAAAGAAGGACAGAGAGTGTCAATTAAAATAAGAAAAATGACTTTGAAGTGAGAATATTTAAAATGGTCAGGCACAGGCTGAAGATTCTGCACTGCAGCAGCACTTTAAAAACCAGGTATCTTGCATGTGCCATTGTCCTTAGGATCTCAGCTCTACGTGGAACTACTCAGAGCAATGAGAATAAGATTTATACTCCAAGAGTATCTACAGGCATAATCAGAAGAGCCTCAAAAGGAAATGAAAGAAGACAGAGACATTTTTCCAAGCTGCAGTTTGTCAGATTCTTTAATTTTTGCTGAAGTCACAGAATCCTTATTTAAAACAAAAAAAGAAAAATTAATACATTGGTGTTTTATACACCATTCTCCATATCCACGATCCCTACACCAGGCCAATGCCCACCCTATGCCAGGTGGCACCAAAACCAGCTCCACAAAAAGGAATGATAGGAAAAAACCCACATATTAAAGAAACTTGCCTCAGAAACAGCCAATGTTTGATTTGCCTGTGAATTTGGCTCACAAGAGCATTTACCCGCTCTTGTGCTTGAAGATTTAATCTTACTTGTTTACATCAGCCCTGAAACTCATATCACAGAAGACAGAAGAGACTTTTCAATTTACGGATTAGTTTTGGGTAACTGAAGGATGCACCAGCCTCTTTTGCTGCAACTCCCTAACCCAGATAAAGGTCACAGTATTTACTGCAGTGGCACAGGAAAGCAGAGAGGCTCAGGAAGATTATTTTATTTCCTGTAATATCTGTAGGAGATATTACAAAGCTCATTTCCATACACACTCCCACCAACCCCTCCTACAAGGGCATTCTCAGTTTAGTCAAACTTGCTATATTAGAAGCTATTTCTCACCCATTTCTACATTCCATATCATTGCACATATGCTAGGAGACATCTCCCAGTGTGATACCACTTGTAAACCACAGAAATTCTTCGATCAAGAAATGTTTTCTAAAAAGGCATCTTTAGAGGAGGTTTCCTGGCTGTCCCTAGAAA